GATTGGCTCGCTTCTAGGGATTTTCTAGAAATCATGGCTTAATCTTATTTCTAAGGGGGTGGTTGCCCGCCACCATTTCTCATTGGCTGCCCTCAGGTGGGGACATTTTTATGGTCAGTTACCCTGGAAACCAGGGTTGGAACATTCTTTGGTCAAACAGTTACCTAGGGAACCAGGGAGAGGACATTCCATAGTCCGGCAGTCATTACCTTGTCACTACCTTGTGGCTCTGTGCTTTTACACTTCCTGGTTTCTGGAATCTGGACTGACTGGTTTCAGTAACTCACGGCCTGTACCTAAAAGGAGAAATCTTAGGCCTTAGTTTTAGGATGAAAGCATTTTGGTCTTATTTCTAAGATGGCTCATTTTGGTCTCACAGTGAGAAGACTGGGAAGAGGCAGGGTTCTGTAACAGTTTGAATAAGATGGCCCCCATAGGCTCATGTGTTTGAATGCTTAGTCACCAGGGAGTGGCAGTACTTGGGAGGAATAAGAAGATGTGGCCTTGTTGGAGTGGGTGTGGCCTTGTTGGAGTGGGTGTGGCCTTGTTGGAGGAAGTGAATCATAGGGGTGGGGGTTGGGCTTTGAGGTTTCAAAAGCCCAAGCCAGGCCCAATGACTCTCTCTTCCTGCTGCCTGTGGATCCAGATGTAGAACTCTCAGCTCCTTCTCCAGCACTGTGTCTGTCTTCTGCATGCTGCCATGCTTTACACTACAATGACAATGGACTAAACCTCTGGAACTGTAAGCCAGCCCCAGTTAAATGCTTTCCTTTGGAAGAGTTGCCGTGGTCATGGTCTCTCTTTACAGCAATACTCATCACAACAGTGACTAGGACCTCAACTCTCCAGGAATCCTCCAGGCCTTCAGTGCCAGACTGGGACTGCTGAGACATCCAGTCTTGTGGACTGAACAGCTACCTGATTCTCAGCCTCCCCAGTATGAGATGGTCATTGTCGGACTTCCCGACCGTATTGTGTGAGCCAATGGAATGAACGAAGCCCCTTTTAATATATGCACTCAGCCCAGCTCGGCCAGCTTGGTGAGCAGAGCATGAGTCTTGACTATATACACACAATCATTTTATCAGTTCAGTTCCTCTGGAGAACCCTGGCTAGTAGAAGTGCCATAGGCCCAGCTGCTGTGAGGAAAAAAACACAGAAGAAGGGACACTCTTCCTTCAAGGCCACTTCCCAGAATTTCGAACAGCATTATGGTCATAATTGAGGTGTTCCAGTTAAAACAAATGTCAGGGTTAAAATATAAACTACAAACATCAAGAACGCCGGAGAGCATGCATGAGAAGGCTTGCTTCTGGGTATAGCATGACCAAGTTACCTAGATAGGAAAGGACTGGACTCTGGGAAAAACAGCTAAGAGGATCTAGGCAAGCTCCTGCATTCCCCACAGCCCCTCCCTGAGGAGCACAACCAAGGTACCACTGCCCTTTGCCCTAGTAAACTTCTGACCTTTATGGGCAATTACTCCTCTACAAAAAATTCTGCATCAAATATCCTTTATATATTCCTGCATCAAATTCATCTAGTTGTATCAGACTAACTTGCGGGTAAGGACAGCTTTTAAGAACATCTACCCTGCTAGGCGTGGTGGCACATGCCTTTAATCCCAGCACTCAGAGGCAGGTGGATCTCTGTGAGTTCGAGGCCAGCCTGGTCTACAGAGTGAGATCCAGGACAGCCAGGATTACACAGAGAAACCCTGTCTCAAAACAAAACAAAACAAAAAACAAACAAAAAAACAAAAAACCCATCCCTTTAAGGGCTAGAGATAGCTCCGAAGTTAGGAGCATTGGCTGGTCTTCCAGAGGTCCCAGGTCCAGTTCCCAGCATCCACATGGTGGTGCACAAGTGTCCGTAACTCCAGTTGCAGGGGAGCTGATGTTCTATTCCAGCCACTGTGGGTAACAGACATGCATGTGATATACAGACATGCAAGCAGGAGCAACAGCATGCATTTAAAATAAATAATAATAATAAATTTTAAAATACATATTAAATAAAAATGGAAAAATAGAAAAAGAAAGGAAGAAAGAAGGAAGGAAGTAGAGGAAGAAAGAAAGAGAAAGAAAAAGAAAGAAAGAAAGAAACAAGGAAAGCCTCTCCTATCTCAGGAAAGAGAGACCATGTCAAGTGTGGGCAGAGGGAGAAACGCATGGCAGAGCAAGGCTTGGGAGTCCAGGCTCCAGAGGCAGCCCATGCCAGCGCCCTCTGCTCAGTCCGTTCTCTTCCCTGGAAGCTGTATTTCCCCTCTGTGCTCTCTTTCCAGCTAAAAATAAACGTTGACTACTGCTCGCTCTACCTGTGCCCTGGTGGGAATTCTTCTCCATCAGGAGCACAAGAGGCAAACTGCGGCAGGGGAGTGGTCTGGGGGTGGAGGGAGGAGGGAGGAGTTGAGGGTGGGGAGGGAGGGA